GTCATTTAATCCATAATCAATAAAACGGTAAAATATGCACACGAAACTATAAAATGAAAACATCGAACCTCATGCTGCATTTAAAACTGTAAAACATGCCAAATAACAGTTAACCGACAAATACACTAGACTTGGGCTCCATTAGCGACCTTAAGCAATTTCACACATTCGTTAATTCATGAAATACTGTTTTATCATTTATTGAACTTTAATACCGTGATAGGAAATAGGGTGAGGGGTCCTTACACGTTTCGAGGTCCGAACACGGCTTCACAGTGTGCCTACAGGCTGTCCCTAATTTTCCCTGAATTTTTCTCGGGAAACTGAAATGCACTACTGGTACCTGCACGTGTTCCAAAAAATCCCAAATTAGGCCCAGGGCCCCTTTCGGCCAATATCGCAACTCCGGTACGGCGGCTCCACCGTGCTCCGGCGATGGCACCGCCGCTGGCAGCGGCGATTCGCCTCGGGTTGGCTGTTTTCGGCCGTTTCTGGCCGAATTCGGCCACACTCGCATCGGTCCCTGCGAGAAAACAACCCTAGGGCCCTTGGGGGGCCAAAAAATCACGAAAAAACGGAGCTTACCGGCGGCGGCGCTCTCGGGTGCGGCGGCTCTCCGGCGAGGTTCGTGTTTTGGTGATTCGGCTCTGGTCAACCTGTAGAGAAAAGAATGGTGATCACGGTGATATAAAAATTGCATCAAACGGAGGCCGGGAAGGGCCTCATCGGAGGCAAAAACCGAGAAGGGGCGCGGCAGCGCCGCTGGGCTTCGACCGTGTATTCTGGCCGTTTGGTCGGGATTTTGGCTCCGATTTGGCCACAGGAGGAATCAGCATGGAAAAACGAGTTGGGGGTACGAAATTTACCTCGATCGGCGGTCGAAAATTTCCCCTGTGCGGCGGCGGGTGGCGGCGTCCGGCTTCTGGTTCGTCTTCTCCGGCGAGCGGCAGCGGCTAGGGTTTGTGGTCTGGTGTGGGGGTTCTATTTATAACCCTTTGCCTTTTGATCTCAGCCGTCCATTTTGTTTTAATCTGGGCCGTCCGTTTTTGATTGAATCTGGGTCGTCCGTGCGATTGCATCTGGGCCGTCCGATCGCACGCTTGATCTGGGCCGTCCGATCGCGCCTACGCGGATCGCCAACGTGGCCCGTTCCGGAACAACGTGATCTTGCCACGTGGCAGGTCCCGGTTGGCCGGGACTGCTGACCGGGCCTACTGACGTGGCTGCCGACGTGGTTTTTTTTTTTTTTTTTTTTTTCGACCCCTTTCCGAGCGCTACAATAAGGATGTCCTTGCTACGCATGAACCCTTTCATTTAACATTATTAATTAACGGACCATTTCCATACCTCGTCCGGTATGAGTGCTAAATTATCAAGTCTTGATACCCCGTTCGGTATGAGACAATATTCACAGTAGGGTTCCCTATTGTAGCCGATCTGTCCAGAATATCCAGTAAGGCTAGCATTTCATCCATTCAATTAATCACACAATTTTCCGTTTTTCTTTAGTCTTCATCTTCTAATTCAACTGTAATCATATAAACAAACAAACATGCATTAGGGAATGCAATCATATCTCAATTTTCTAATCTAACAATAGTCACGTAAGGCAGCAATACATGCATTCAAAATCATAAAATCGATAAATCAGATATTATTAGGCATTCAAACTGTAAAATAAATCGACAGAAATCAATAGAGAATAATTTTCAATTCTTACTCCATTAGTAACCCGTAATTAATTATAGATATTTTTTAAAAGGTACAAAATATTGTATTATTGTTAATTTGACTTCAATTCCATAACAAAGAATAGGGTGAGGGATTCTTACTCAATTTGACGAAAAACTAAACTGTTGGCTATGCCTATTGGCAGTCCCCGGGTTCCCTGATTTTTTTTTAGAATTAAAACGCGCTTTAAGTACCTACAAATATCTCAAAAAATCCAAAGTAGTCTCGGAGCCCATTTTTGGCCAATTCCAGAATTCTAGCACGGCAGCTCCGTCATGCTCCAGCGATGGTACGGCCACCCGCAGCGGCGGTCCACCTCGAGTCGGCTGTTTTCGACCGATTTTACATTAATCTCTGCAAGAAAACACGTTAAGGGATCTCAGTTGGCCCAAAAAACACAAAAAATCGAAACTCACCAGCGGCAGGGCTCTTCGATGCGGCGGCTCCTCCGGCTCATGTTGCAGTTGGGTGTTTTGCTCTGGTCAACCTGTAGAGAAGAAAACAGTGATCATAATAGTGGAAAAATTATGCCGAACTGTAATCGGGAAAGGCCTCATCGAAGGCATTTTATGAAATTTCCCGCGGCGGTGCTATCAGACTTTGTTTGCAGTTTTTAGCCAATTGGTCAGTCCTTTTGCTCTGATTTGGCCATAGGGGTGTTTAAAATTAAATTTGAGTAAATAAAATTTTTTTTACCTCTTTTGGCGATCGGAAAGGGCTCCGGCGCAACGGCGGGTGGCGGTGACCTTCTTCCCGGCGACTGGATCTTCTTCTCCGGCGAGGGGGGTCTGGCGGCTAGGGTTAGAGTTTGGTATGAATGAGATTATTTATACTCGTCCTCTTTTAATCTGGACCGTCCATCGTTTTTGATCTGAACCGTCCGATGCGATTAAATAGATAGTGAATCTGGGTAGTTCATCGCGATCCAATTTAAACCGTCCGATCGCGTTTAAATAGAGAATGGATCTGGGCCATCGGTGCACGGGTATGCGAATGGCCCGCGTGGCACCGTATCAGCGTCTGTTGCCACACGGTGCATTCTGGTTCGTCAGGACTGCTGACTGGGCATCCCACGTGGCACAAATTCTCTAAATTGCATTTTAACCTCTAGTTTCTGATTTTTTTTTTCAAAAATACATTCAAAACTTAAATGTTTACCACTTTTTCTTAAAATTGTTTTCAATTTCATCATCTATTAAATTTCCTTCATTTTTAAATTAAAATAAAAAATTATATTTATAAATTAATTTTAAATTACTTTAAAATTAAATTTGGATGTTACAATTATGGTTATATATTTCTACCTTAATTTCTATGTTCTCTTATTTTTTTGTTCTTTTTTAACTGTCTATAAAATAATTTATTTTTTACTAATCGTTTTCCATCAATAACTATATTGTTTGACATGATTTTCGAAAAAATATTAGTAGGAAAATCTCATTTGATGTTGAAAATTTTAATTTTTTACACTAACTTTGTTATCTTTTTGGTGACCCGCATGACTAATAAGATCAAAACCTCATTTATCTTAGAAAAATAGAAAGACATAACCAACTCACGTAAACTGATAGCTTATTATCTTTCTCCTTGAAGCTCCTTTCATCAATTGAAAGAACTAACTTTATGCAATGTTCATTAATATTGTTCTTTAATATGAAAAATTTATGTTGATGTGGCTAGTTTAATGATTTATAACATGTCATGGAAGTGCAAAATTCTAATAACTATTAACACACAATTCATCCTTCAAACTCGAAAATAATTTAGATTTTAGGTCTAAAATTTTATTTAATATATTTGAATTCGGTTTGAATTTAGCTTGAATAAAAAATCTACGTATGAAAAATATTATTCTTGTACGATTTATCCCGAACAATTAGTTATAATTAGAATGAATAAATTTGTATTCCTATTATATAGAAATAAACATTTAATTTAACTAAAAGATGTAATCAAGTGTTTGAGAAAATCAAAATATAGTTTTCTTTTTTATTTCATAAAAAAGCAGAAATCAATAAATGGGTCTTAGCTCGGTCCATTGAAATAAGAGGAAAATTAAACTGATAAAATGTCAGAAGTGGGATTTGAACCCAGGCCCTCTCACGAGGACCAGAACTTGAGTCTGGCGCCTTAGACCACTCGGCCATCCTGACTTGATGCTTGAGGTTATCAAGTTTATTATTTGAATGTATTACAAAATTCAAGAATTTATAATTAACAATAAAACAAATATTAAAAATAATAAATAACGAAAACTTTAATGCTCAAGATCTGTATGGAACCATAAATTATAATTTTTAGAATCTCCTTCAAGCTTGGATTTACGATTTGTAATCTTGTTGGTTTTATTGTGTGTGTTTTTGCTAATACTACGTTTATTATGCTATATCATATACATATACATATACATATAATATCCGTCTCTCTACATATATTTTTATGTCACATTATTTATAGATTAAAATAAAATTCATATTATTTTGTGTTAATTGATTGAGTACAATTTGATGCATTTTCATATATTTTTAATTTTTACAACCAAAAACATACATCTTATACTCCAATTCATTAAATTTTTGCATATAATTTTTTGTTTAGGAATATAACTATTAATATTTTCTGTGTAATATTTATAATTATTTTGTATTAAATTCAAATATATATTTTTTTATCTTGTGACAATTATGAGAACAAATTTCCCCTATTAGAAGAGAGGAAAAAGTTGTTCTATATTTTTATATTGTTATATTTTTAGTAAAATTACTTTTAACATAAAAATAATATAGTATTTAGTAATCTTATTATAAATAGTACTTTTATATAGAGTTTGTATTATATTTAATTAAATATGTCATGATGTTAATGATAAATATTAAAATAATAAAATTAGATAACACTAAAATAATTTAAATTATTTTTTAAAAATTATTTTATCCAATATATTAGTTATAAATATTATTGTTCAACTTTAAAATGAAAATTATTTAAGTAATTTATAATAAATATAAAATTATTAGTAACAAGTTAATATTATCTCTTTATTTTTTTTAAAAATATTATATAATAAATTAATGAACATCAAAATTAATAATATACTATAAAATATTTATTTGATTTTATCTTATATTTTTTTACCTAAAGACACTTTGGTTTTTACAGTGAAAAAAAGGAAGGGTACAGCTAAATCAGCTGAAATATCAAAAAAAATTACCAGCTATGACCGAATAAATTAATTATCAGACATCCAGTTTATACTTAAATTCGCTTCGGGTATGTGGGAGGGGAGGCAAAACAGGGAAGAATAACAGAGAGGATGGTGAGTGGAAAGAAAAAGGAGTGGGTTCGGGGTGAGTTCTTCAGCTCTCTATGACTATAGACCTGTAGCTGTGATCAGAATCTGTATTCGTCGTTGCTGCGGTAAATTTCAAATCCTTTGATTCGTGAAATGAGCTGTTGATTTTCTTGATTCGATGTTTCTTTAATGTTTTCTTCTTTCATCATTCCCGGCTCTTTTGCCGGTAGAAGTTGTATGTTAATGAGCTGTTCGGCGATATTGCTGACTAAACAGCTTGAGTAGTATAAATTGATGAAGATGTTTTTTGTGAGTGAAATAAGCCATGTAGGTGATGGTTTACGAATTGAAAAATTGTTTGATTGACAGACTGAATACCAGGTGTTTGCTGAAATGTCCCATCATCTTTTGTTGAGCCTCGCCGCTCTTCCATGATCTCTGTAAACATGGAGCTCTTAATGTGCTATATCTTCCTTTACCAATCTTGTTCGTATTCAGCTATGGTGGGTATTCTGAGAATGACACGAATATATCTACAGGGAGTTAATTGGGTTGATTTAAGTAACGATCTTAAGAAATGCTATTTACTCATATGATTATTAGTAGTGAATTCATTGATAAAAATATGAAAGAAATTTTAAAGTTCATTAAAATGCGCAAAATGATTTTTTCTCTAACAATAGGCTCTGAAATTGGAAAAATGTTGAAATTGCTTAACTGAGATGGTAAAAATGATAATCCAGTTTGGTTAAAAATATTTGTGGTAATGGAAGTTTTAGTGATCTTAGTTCATAGTTCAAAGGTAATTTCTCTTTTATTTATTTATTTATTAAGAGACGTGCATTCTGAAGGTATTCATCAAAGTTTAGTTGGTTCAATGCTTTGAATTTTAGGCATTATCTTAGGGCTTAATATTTAAAGATCAAAATCTTACTTGGGAGAATTTAGCGAATACTAAAAAATATAAACATCTTTCAGTGAGTTTAAGTTTCTTTTTGAGTCCTTAGTGTCTGGTTATCAATACAACTCTAATTAATTAATCTATATCACATGACAGGCTTGTCTAAATTGTTTGGACCCATTTCTTTAACATTGATTGCTAATTTTGGTGTTTGATTTAGTCTTCAATGCATCAGTAGCAACTCCTAAATATCTTTAAACTTCAGAGCATCTTGACATCGCAGCTGTGACCGCCACAGGGTAATTATTGCTGACATTGTGCCAGTTAATAATCCTCAATGGTCACTAAGCCTGCACCACCATTTTGCTTTCTTAGGGTTTGGAAAGAAACAAAGTTCTCTCTTTTTTCTTTTTTTGAGAATAGAACCAAAATCTTGTTTTGAGAAACATGTTTTTGTATTATTTGAAGTTCTGTTATGGAACTAGAATGTCATTTTTGGTATTGGTAGCTGCCAAACAGTGGGTTTTGGTTCTAATGAGTGAATAAAGAAACCTTAGAATCTGGAGAATCATTGAATTTTCTCAACTCTCCAATTATTTTCTGATCAGTCTCTATTTTTTTTTATTATATTTTTTATTTTTTAAATAATCTCTTGCAGTGATGAATCCTGTTCCTTCTCATCTACCACTCCTCCTTCCATGGTTTCCAATGTTACCTCCGGACCCACCAAGATCAAGAGCCTTTTGGGACACCACAAACACGCGAAATCAGCTAGTGCAATTACAAGATACTCTTAGTCTTGCAAAAGCAATGTAAGTTGTTTTTGTTACTATTCAGAAGAATATTTATTGAAGTATATACCATTTGAGATCAGCTATGGCTTGTTTGGGCTGTTTATGGTTTTTGTTTGTTAAACGTTGTAGTAATATTGTCTTATCTTCAACAGGCAGAAAGAGTTGGAGGCACTGATGATAATTAAAGATGCCAAAGGGTCTCTGGAGGATATAGAAAATGATCCTTCTGTTTCAGGGGTTCTAAAATATTTGGAAAATAGGAATATGAGTTTGGAGTCCCAAGACTCATTTTCACTGGAAGCAGCAAACTCTTTGTTGTGTAAACTTAGGGCTCAGCTGGAGTCCTTTAGATATATTGTTGATGAAAGGAGCCCATGGGAGGAGAAATCAGCAGTGGTTAAGCTTGGGAATAAAATGCACAAGTCCAAGCGGAATAAACTTTGGAGGAAAAGAAAGCGGAAACGCGTTGCAGAAATGCTTGCAAAGGTGGTTTTTTTATGTTTTTTCAGGCAAATATACTTGAGCCATCTCACTCTCAGCATATGTTTGAAAGTTGCTTGTTTTGTTGGCCTGCCTTTATTTTGACTTTAGGAGCATGAATGTTTCAACCAAGCTGATCAAGAAGCTGATGAGTGGAGGGCTAGGGAGATTGCCAAGGATATAGCAAATCGCAAGGTGTTGTGTTACATTATGAGTTGCAGTGTTTTAAATATTGCTGTTTCTTGTTGGCTGTCCTTGGCTCTAGAAACAAGTGCATTTTTTATTCCTCAGTTCTCCTATATAATGCAATAGTATAAACTGATTTTGGCTGGAAGCTGATAGAAAACCCTTTATGTTAAGGGTGCTATTTTTTTGGCTTAATTAGTGAATTTGTGCCTAAAATTAGCATTAGCTCAAAAAATGTCTCCTAGTTTTCTTATAAAACTTAAAATTAAGCTATAAATTAAATTCTGGGCAAAATATCTTGAGAATTTGGAAAATTAGATTCCATATCACTTCCCATACAACTGGCCAGTGACACAAACCAACAAGAGTGGCTTGAACTGCAGCTCAGTCCCTATGATCTAGTTATTCAGATTTGTTGGCAGCCTAGCCAGCAAGATCTGGCCATGCAATATCGTGGAATTGGCCAAATCGGATGGTCAGCTCTGCAACTCTCTGGCTGAAATGACTCCTAGAGTCATCTAACTCTCAGACAACAGAAGTCACAGACACCACTCACACAGATGGCATGGCCAGTGCTGGTCACCTGACCTCCAGATGCTCATTTAACCATCACTGTCTTCAACAACAGTGACACAATCAAACACAAGAATTGGTGCAGAAACTCAGCAAGCACTGGTCTTCTGGGTTGCATGATGGGCATTGGTCAGCAGTGCTAAGCCCCAGTATAAGGATGGGCTCTAGCATGGTGTGGGTCGTTCGATAGGCATTGGTTTGTGAGATAGGTTGTAACAACCCGAACCCCCATTCAGAGTTTAGATCACATCCCACTATGTAATGACAAATAATTTATGAAAATATCTTGTGCAACAAATATTTAAGGATTTAAAAGTACATCTCTTACATAACTTAGTTTTAAAATATCCAAAATTCCTTAAACTTATCTTAAACCCTAAAATAAATACTTACTATAAAAAATAAATAATTTTAATTACTGTCTGAATTGAAGTAAGATGAAGTGAAACGATCTCATAGCAATATCTCATTATTCAGGAGCAGGGTCCTGAACGTTTTGATATAGAAAGAATAATGAATTGGGTGAGTTACACTATCTTAATAAGGATATGAAAACTAAATAACGTAATGACTTGTCGAAGTGTTATAGAAAATAATAAAACAGCTGATTGAATATTTATTTTAATAAAACCAGCTTTAAACTTAGAAACATGCTTAATTTTCTTCACTTCATGTCCCTATTCCTCTGATGTAGAGTTTTTATTATTGCTTTTCATCACAATTTCATTCTCTTTTATAATTACCATCACATTAAATTAAATTTATATTCAACACTTCATTTACATTCATAAATACCGTTAACCATATCAGATACGTATTTAGATAGTTTCTATTTCCAAAAACAATACCATCAGTTCACACTAGATTTGTATCCAAGTATAGCACGCACTTCAAATCAATCACTTTTCATTTTCACTTAAAAGTTGAAACTCTATTCACTTTTACATTTCATCGGCCGACGCCGTTTTGACCGGTACCATTAGGACCCATAAGGATCCCCTCTATCTATGGATACTCAACATTTCTATAATAATAATTGATTATCCTCATACCCCATTTGGTAATGAGTGTCACAATAATAGACCGTCTTCATACCCTGTCTGGTATAAGCGTCATTAAACCATCAACCATCTTTAATACTCCGTCCGGTATGAGCGTCGCAATTATAGATCGTCTCCATAACTCGTCCGATATGAACAACATTGAACCAATGACCATCTCCAATACTCTTTTCAGTATGGGTGCCACCAAACTATTTTTTAACCCCATCCAGTATGGGACTTCTCAGGCATGTCCGACTGATTACGTATCCACAATAGGGTTCGCTGCATACACATACACACACACCCCACTCGCACAAGCAACTATAAACGGTCTTTCCTGTGCATCGACCCACTAGGTATATCAACCCACCACGGCATGCAAAACCCCAAACAACTAAAACAAATATGCATAATCAATTATATACCAACACTGCACAAAATCAATTAAATCATCACCATCGGCATCTTACACAAAGTTAAATTCAAAATTTCAATCGTTCCTAGGTGATCTAAAGACCAAACTTTGATTAAACAATTATGGAGAGGGTTAAGATATCCTTAGTTCAAAATATAAGCCAAAACTGTCGCTTTTTTACGGTCATTAAACACGGCTTAGCTTTACACTCCTTGGTTCTACATTTCTCAACGGAGTCGATTTTTTTATTCGTCGGCACGGCAGCCTTGCTCCGCCGTCTCTTTCTCTTCTCCAGGCAGATATGCTGTAGGCCTCTCTCTCTCTCTCTCTCTCTCTCTCTTCTTTTCTGATCCAATGGAGGCTAGGTTTTCCTTTTGAGGTGGGCTGAAAAGAGAGATTACATATGGAGTTTTTTGGTGATTTTGGACCATTGGATCTCAACATCAAATCTTGACCGTCCGATTCTTTTGGGTTGTTACATAGGCACCAGTCTGCTGCCTGCATCATGACAGATACCATCCCTGTGAAGACACTGGTAGCACTTACCACAAGTTAATTGTCTGATAGGAACCAATTGTGCTACCAGGCATTGGTTGACCTGACCTAGTTTATTTCTTATAGATCATTCTTATTCATGTTTTAAAATTATATTATTATATTCATGATTGATGCGTTTAAAAAGAATATGATGACTGAATCATATCTTTGTTGTTATTTATATTGCATTGTGGCTAGACTGAAGTCACAATTTTTGAAGACTGTTTTCTTCCTTTTCAGCTCATATGGGGGACATTAACATGTTTGGCCTTCCTATGGGCTAAGGCTCATGGCCATTTACCCATAAATTAGGGAGCTATATTGCATTAATTTTTTCATTTTGATGTTTTAAAGTTTTGGCCTTCACAAATCAGACTATAGGAGAATATCTTATCCTCTGGCATTGTATTTTCTCTCTTCATTTCCTTAACAACATTTGGTTGTGGCAAGGACTCATGGATTGCATTATGAGATGATCCATAATGAATTCAGTGGGTAGGATAACATTTTTCTTTGATTTTCTGCCTTTACATATCTCCAAAAGTTAAAGAAATAATTAGGACTTATTGGGTAGAGAGAATCCTTCAATCTCTATAGTAGCAAAGTACTCTTCATTCAAGAATAAATTCAGACATCCTGCTGTTTTTCTCCCCCCAGTAGAGACTATATACAAAGAAGATAGGTAATTCTGTAATTTCCAGAATTACTTAAATTATCCATGTCTTACGATAGATTTATTTCCCACCCTAATACATACTTACCACTTAATTAAGCACACTTTCATAAAAATTACATAATAATATTTAACCTAACAGCCATGACTTATTTCCTCATTGCTAAGAAAATAAATCTATCCATGATCTTGTAATAAATGTTTAAAATCCATCTATGATCTTCTTTGATTTTTTCCATATGTGAATATACTCTTTTAGGAAAATATGATATTGACTTGGAAACTTCGAAAAATATGATCTTGATTATCCCTTGATGGATTTCTAAAATTCCTTGATCATGATTTCTTTTTTGCCACTTGAGAAATATACGAAGTAAAAAAGGAAATTTTCCTTCTAGAGAGAAAAATCTCTCTTTTTCCCCATGGCTGAGGAGAGATTTCCCATGGGCTTTTAACTTCTTTAGGGGTTGTTTCCTTTCTTAACTTGGTTGGTTGCTTGAATAGTCCAAGCCATCCATGCTCACATCACTAATGCTCATAGATAAACAATTACACAAGATTATTCATTTTTATTCCTACTTTGATAAACCTTAGGGTAAGGAATTATTTTGCCCCTAACACATTTATTTTTCGAGCAGAAAAAAAACAAACTTCATATTTATTCTTTTACCCTTATGGGTAATTTTACTTTTTTAAACTTTTCTACACTACATTTCTTACAAACTCAGCCGTAAATCATGCTACATGTAAACAATAAAAGTTGCATAAGACTTGGCGCAAGGCATGTCTTATTTGGAGACAACTAGTGGAGGAGATTGCTTCTGAAATCTGAATAATGTCTAACACTGTCCTGCATTCTCTATCAACTTATCTAATTGTCTCATCAGATAGCTTGTATAATTGTTCATCATGGTTATTGAAACAGTTCTGCATGCAGTTGGGATGAGTTGCTGTTCTTGCCATGTTTCATTTTATAAGTGAGGTTTGTTATTTGCAGGTCGAAAAGATGAAGGAAATTGCAAAGGTCAAAGCAAAAGAAGAGAGAAAGAGGCTGGAATCTGAGGTTACTAATAACTTTATTTTCACGCCTTAAATTCTTAATGAGTTGGAAGTACTAATTCGATTTGAAATTCTCTCATTTATTTTATGCATAAACACCAAAGGTTTATTTGCACAAGACAATGTTAAAGAGTCGGCCTATATTTTACCCTTTTCTTGGACTTCTTCAAGCATTGATGCCATGGTTAACATTTTTTCTATGTATTCATTTAAATTAAATTTAGAAGTCACTAAATTTCATTTTGCTTGTAAAGTCCAATGTGGGAACTTGAGGACATATTCTATTTCTCCCCATTGGGTATACTTTGCCTCATGTCCATAATTTTGATCCAATGTCACCAAATGGAAAGTGCTGATGTTTGTTATTCCTGTGATTGCTATTTACTGGAACATGTGCCGTCTCAAGTATAAGAACATCTGGTTAGCCTAATAACTCTGATGCTGGTGGTGGTTATCCAGCTGACTTCACTGAAGAATACAATTAAGTAAGCCATAGAATGCAATGCTATATCAGATTCAAACACTCCCTGAAATGTCATGGCCTTTGTTTGAAAAAGAACAGAAAAGCTTGTGTCCAAATCATGCCATGTTTACCCTGTCATTTTCTTAACTCTTTTTTTTTTTTGTTTTCAACAATGATACACATCTTTGTATAAACATGTAAGAGTTCAGAAAATAAATGCTCCAAATAGTTTTCTACAATTAAACAAGACCTGATACGCTTTGTTTATTTTGCTTTTGCCCCCTATAGTCTCTTGACCTTTTTATACACAATGTATGTTATTTCAGCTTGAGCTCGTTTTAATTGTGGAAAAGTTGCATGAGTTGAGGTCCCTAAGAATCCAAAAATTGAAGAAGCAAGGTACATTAGTATTTTTTGTACTTCGTTTACTGTTCTTGCTTGTTTTTGTTACTATTTCCTATTGGTTTTTGGTTTTACTTTCTCCTGTGTTTCCTTTCAGGAAAATGGAACTATCTAACTTCTGAGGCTTTGTTTCTAGCAATGAGATCATATAAATGGAATTTTCATACAAGTGCATGGATGCATTTCTGATGTCTGATGTGTAATGTTAGACAAGCTCAACAGAAACTAATGGTAGTCTAGAAATTATAATACAGGTCATTTTCTCCCGGAGGAAGATGACAAGTTTCTTGAGAGAGTTCGAGTTGCAGTTGAGGAAGAGGAGCGCCAAGCTCTGGCAGCAGCGGACACAGATGCTGCAAAGGATGCCATTGCAACAGCTGAGGAATCTAGGAAAACCATCCAGAATCAAGGAGTTGTCTCAAGAGATCTGACGATTGAAAATGATGGAGTCAAGGAACCAGAAGATAAAATAGCTAAAACTGAGGAGACTGATGCAATCACTGTTAAGGAATCTGAAAAAAAAGGATTCGAAGGACAGAGTTTTACCAGAGCATATGATTCTGTGGCAAACTTACCAATTGAGTTTTATCACTATTATCATGGCAGCAATCATGACATGGGCACACTTATAGAGGTGATTTCAGCTTATTTTTCTCAAATTCTATTCACTTTCCTGTTATGTGTATTTTCCTTTGTCCTCTGCTAACTGGCAGCAAAAGACTGAATAGTTTTTATGTAATAGTTGATGCATATGTTATCATGGTCCCATTCAATCTTCGATTTCTAGATACTCATTTACTCGAGTCTTTCTATCCCTCATGCAGGTTAGGAGAACATGGGATGCGTATATCAGACCAGGAGGAAGGTAATGTTAAAATCCCTCCTTTTCTTGTGTACTGCTCATTCATTTTGAAAAACTACCAATGTCCAATTTCGATTTTGAGAAGGAAAGCTCATCAATTCAATAATGTAAAGCTCTATTTTAGCTTGCCTCTGGACAGTGACTAGGCGGGGCTTTATTTTTGTGTTTTTCTTTTCAAGATTAGCTCATATCTTCTTCATGACTTCCCAAAGAGTACATCCCTTCCTCCTCAATCCCCAAAATCAGGATAATATATTAATCAGTTTGGATATTGCTGCAAAAATGTATTGATTATGTTGAATTTGGCTGCAGCCGCATACCAGGGCACTGGGTTCAGCCACCACCTCCAGCGGATGAGATATGGGCATCCTACCTAGTGAGACCTAAAGAATAACCTTGGTGGCAGTTTTGACCGTAAAAGACAGTGGTGCTGTATGTTTTGCTTTCAATATGGAGTGATTTTTTGTGTCCAATGTTTTAGTTTGATTAGGATGCTTGTTTTGTATCTGACATTGCAAGAATGCAGGATCCAAACATCTATACACTACCTTTCTGAATGTATTTACATACTTCTGAGCAAAGTTTAACTCGATTAAAATTTAAAATTTGTTTGGATAAATTTCAGTGATAATTAATTAATATATAGTAATATCAATAATTAAATGATAAAAATACAGTATTGTAATAGTAAAATTTTTTTACGTTTGTATATTAATGACGTATTTTTATTTAAATGATAGAATGATATGATTATATTTTTAATTAAATTATTAATTTATTCTTACATATTATATATAATAGTAAATAATATAAAAACAATATGTAAAGAAAAAAAAGTTATTTATTAATATAATTATATTTATATTTAAATAAATAATTATTATACATAATTAAATTAAAATTTTATATTTAATAAAATAAATAATATTTATTTATATTATTATATTAATTTAATAAAATTTTAGTTATCACAACATTCATGAAATTAATTTAGATGAGAATATAATGAAAAATAAATAGAATGCCCATCAAATACTATTAATTTAGTGATTTAAAAATTCATCCCAAAATTTATCAGTCAAATATTATTTGTTATCATTTGAAACTGAAACAAATACGATTTTCTCACAGCCGTAAAATATCATAAATTAAAATTCTATCATTTATCATGATCCAAACAAAAAGTTAAGCATTATAACTCCTAGAAAATTACCAAGATGCTCAAGCTTGTATAAATATTTTTTTGAGAGTATTTGGAGAGTACTTGATTCAGTTTAAAATGTAAAAAATCTTAAAAATTTATAAATTTTATGGCAAGTTATAATTTGATACCGGGTAGTTTAAGAATTTTTAAATTTAACATATATGATCTATGCTTAATAGATATATATTATGACGGAAAGCTGATACAAATAACAGGTTCTATTGATTTTGGCAAAGATTATGGATGCCTCTCCATGGTTGGAAGTGGCCTATTGATATGGTCTAGATATAGCAACTTCAATGGGTCATATTGATTTGTTTGTTAAAGGAGATCCGCAAGTAAATTTTTAAGACAATCTTTTCTGATAACTTATTCGAAATTTATGAAAAAAATATTATCGACTTTCTTGCAAAAAGATATTATAGGATGTTTAGACTTTTCAAAGACTAATATATTATTTGAATTTCCCTAAAAATTTCATAAAATTTTAACACAATTTATTTTCTAATCAAAATAAATTTAGCCGAGGGTTCCAGATGCTCCAAAAATAGATAGTAATGGGCATCCTACGATTCGGCAGATTACTCTGCGAAGTAGTTTTGGATTATTGTTAGAGGGGCCTCAATTCCAGAGCATTTTCACCCCTCTGCTGGGAACTTCGCTCTCAGAGAACGATATCCATTTCTCATTTAAAACAAAAAAGGAAGTGTTCGAAAACCAGATCTGTAAATTTAAACCGACTCCGAAACAAATCGGATCCGGATTATCCGATTTCGACATCGCTTTCCGAAGGCAAACTTGGATGTGACCGCACCTATTACAGCGCTCCATCCATAGGTCCTTCGTTCACAAGTTGTACACCACTTCAAAATACATCCGATTAATCAAGAGAAACAAAACAGTGAACGGAGATTAGAAAATGATGATGCTCAGTGAATACGAACCAAAAACAGATGAATTCATCTTGCGAGATGGAAATGAAACTATCACGCAATCGATGATTTCCTCTATCATCCTCATCATCGCATCGATTCAACATATTCTTCGGTCATCGATGGAGAAAAACACAAATGGATGCAGATCACAATTTCCTACGAGGGAGAAAGAAATTTGAAATGCAAAAACAAATAGAAAGTAGAAGCGGCTGCTCACAGACCTAACCCTATATTTGTTGTCTGTACATCCATGTGTATGGATTCGTATATATAGTTGGATGGGGATCCGTTGGATCGGCTTTGAGATTTCTGTCCATTTCTTCTTTGGATCACGAGGCCCATTGTTATGCCTGTACGAGCCCAATTAATAAAATTGTTAATTTATTATGGATAAAATTTCTAATACGCCCTGAAAAAAGTCAACTAATCACCAAGCCATTTGACTACTTTCTTTGTACGGAAGTCAGCTATTTTCTTGTAATTTTTTTAGGTTCTTATGCTGTTCATATTTTTGTTCGTTTTTCTTTTTTCCTTAGGAAAGTTCATAATATCAACCTCTTCTTTTATTATTATTATTTGTAGTCTTTATCTATTTATTATTTTTACTTTATCAATAAGCAATTTTAATTTATTTTTAAATTAAAAGTATTAATTAACTCTATTATTTCCCAGTTCATATCAAATTATTTTTCTCCCACCTATTTTTATATTAAATTTAACTTTTACTGTTATTTTAACGAAATAACATAATCAACAAGCTTATTCTTTTTTAAAACGAAATCCACATTTTTTAAAATTATATATAATATAATTAATTTTTTTTTTTAACTATAAAAAAAGATAATTATAAGATTTTTGAACGATTAAAATCTTGTCGCCTCAGTTCCGCCTGGTTACACTATTTGTTTTGTAGGTGGATCAATCACTAGCATAAAATTCCGGCTAATTTAATTTTTGATCCCGGAAAAGTAACGGACTAAACTGTAAGAATCTTCGTCTTCGTCTTCTGCAATTGCGCAACCTGTTTTCCAACCGAAAAATTTCCTTTTCCCCGCTATTATTACAGAAGAGCACATCAGATCTACTCGTGCGAAAAATCTTCAATTTCTTCCTCTGTTAGGCATGCCGGCGGATACATTTAATCAACTGTATCTTATCTGAGGAAAACTCTTCAAATATTCCTCGGTCGAAGAACCTACAGACACAACCTTACTTGTTGATCTGAGGGATTTGGTTGGCGGTGGCTTTTGGAAGATGTGGAGTTCGATAGCGAATTTGAAGGAGAACTTGAACAAGATCGCGCTTGACGTGCACGAGGACGATGACGAGGAGCTTGAGATTTACGGTTCGAGCAACACAGGCGATGTGCCGGCCTCTGATCGTAGACGGTCTCATAATTTCGCGCAATCCAAGCCCGTCTCGCGGTCCCCGGTCACTAATGGGATCGATTTGTCAATTAATTACGAGGTTAGTGTCTGGTTATTATCCTTTAAGCTGTAGGAACTCTAGTCGTGCTTGGTTGCTTTGGTATTGGGTTTCCATTGGGTCTCAAATACCGTGGATTATGAATAAATTGAGGTGGCTTGTAGTTTGATTGCTATGATCTCGAATATCGGTTGATGTCCTTGAATTATGCTTCTGAAAGAACCCCTGGAATTATAATTGGCTTATTCCTGGACCATGACCTTGGTAAAGACATGTTTCGGTGAGTTTAATATCCCTCTGTGCTTGGTGGTTTTCCAGTATTGAACTTCGCCATTTGGCCGAGTTTCTAAATAATCCTTTATTTTAACATTTCAGTACTATGAGATAATTTCGCAATCTGTATCTAGAGTTTGGGGCCTTGATATTGTAGTTCCATGAATGGATGGGACAGCTGAGATACTGAGCTGGGAACCTAATTTCGCAATCTGTATCTAGGGTTTGGGGCCTTGATATTGTAGTTCCATGAATGGATGCGACAGCTGAGATACTGAGCTGGGAACCCTATGTAGTTCAATATCTGGGAAAATTCTCCTCCTTGGGGTTTCAATTGGATCATAGAGCTTTACATTTTTTATAGTCTTAAATGACTACATTTTCACGGCTTAGCCCGGTAGTCTAGCTGTTTATAGGACAGTCTCAGGTGAAAGTGGTAAAACAAACTTGTACTGTTGTTGCTAGAACAGTAGTAACAGCCTTGATGGCATCGAAAATAAATTACGGCTCCCTTTGACTAATTTATCATTTGTAGTTGGATGGGCATCTCTGCCATGTGTCAGAACCTGGATAATTTCTTTACTATTTCCCCTAGACATATTCTTGAGTATCCCTGTCACCCAGCTTCTCCGTTTGTATGTATCTTTTTTACATGATTTGTCATAATTTTTTGAAATATGTGGATTATTGAGTATACTATAATCCTTTTTCATGCTTATAGTCATACATATATGAAATCTTACTTTATACGGTTAAGTACATGGGTCTTTGATATGGTTTGTTCCTTTCTTTTTTGTCTGTTGTAGATTGAACAATACAAGGCTGAGATTAAGAGGCTTCAGGAATCTGAGGCAGAAATTAAAGCATTATCAATGAATTATGCAGCTTTGTTAAAAGAGAAAGAGGTAATCCAATGTCTCTTTGGTTGACATATTCCTGTAATATATGTATTCTTTTTATGTATTAAAATATAAATGGTCTAAATCATCCCGAAAAAAGAAATTCACATGTTAGATTCCTAAATTGTTCCACAGTTTGCAGAGTGAAGCATTCATTTTCGCCATCCACTATACAATTAAATAGCCGTCACACAAACACGCATAAATAGTTAATTTTCGCTTTCAAGCCATGGTCAAACTAGTTATTTTTTTTAAAAAAGAAAAGTATAGAAACGTATTGATGATACATATACAAAATTTACATATCGATAAGTATATCTACAACAGAAGCAAAATCGACATTACTATCAATATCATGCTCTAGTATAGTAGAGACAAAATAGTGAAATCAATTGTCTTTTAAAGTGTTGAAGTCTCGTTCTTTTCCGTCAAAAGCACGTTTGTTTATTTCCTTCCAAATGACCCAAAATACAGTGAGGGGGCTGAGTTTAAAGAGCTTGTTTCTTTTGCTAAGACCTTCCCAAGCAAGAAGTTCCCCAAAGACTGTGTTTGCCATGACCCAAGAAAGCCCCAACAGGGCAAGAATCATCACCCAAAGTTTGTGAGATAAAGGGCACCAAAGTAGAAGATGATTAGACGATTCCGGTCCCATTTTATAGAGGTATCACCTGTTTGCGATTGGAATTCCTCTTCTCATAAGATTATTCAAGGTAAGAATTTTTTCTTTAGCAGCTTCCCATGCGAAAAAAGAGATTCTAGGTGGGGTTCCAGATTTCCAAATGATTTTAGCTGGAAATTTCAATTGATTACTGTTGATCCGGCCATCCAGGAAGTCATAGACGAGCTGACAGTGAATTTGCCACTGTTTTTGTGTTTCCAGCGCAACTTGTTTTCATGATTTTTAATCTGAATGTGCGACAAACAAAGAAGTAAGACTTCAGATTCTTGAATTTCCCAATCCTCACAGTTTCTTTCAAAAAAAAGGTTTCTCATTACAGTGATGTTCCATGTGTTAAGGCTGTCCGGAGTGACAACATCTCCCACGAGAGCATTTTTGAATTTAGAGAAGCCATGGTCAAACTAGTTGTATTGTGAAAAGTTCCTGTTCCTTTTTGTAGTTGTTATGAGCTCATATCTAAAGCCTAATTAGTATGGCAATGAGGAGGTGGATTTTATCAAAGTGAATTCATCTTTTACGAAAGTTTACAGGTATTTTACTCATGGGCTTCAAAAGGAAGCAAGGATCTGTTGGGACCAGATTTGATTTATTTATTTATTCTGCTATGTCCCATTTTTCTCGTGTTTGTTTGGGTTACGCACTCAAATTTTCCTTTATTTACCTTCCATATGCATGATATTTTCTTCTGCTAAAGTAATTGGTTTCCAATTGTTTCTTGCATCCAAGAGCCGAAAAATACTCTTTGATGGAATAAAAAAAGCAACAATGTTTTTTAGGGGTTCATCTGGGAGAGGAGAAATGAAGGGAAGCGGATAGGAGAGAATGAGGTTATTTGGTCCTCGCAATAAAATATTAATTAGGATAGAGTATATTGAATAGAAATAACTTAATAAATTTTTTTGGGAAGATAACTAATTAAAAAATTGTAATCTTTTTTTGGAGAAAAAAGATTCTACTAAGAGCTCCAAGGGGTTTCAAATCAGTACAAAAGATATACAGAAACTCAAGTCCTAAAGTAGGGAAGATTAAAGAGATCCTAAATATTAACAGTATCAGAGTTGGGGTAAAAATGGGGTGCCCTTAAGAAAAATACAGAGAATTGCAAACCTGTGATCTTTAATCGCTTGAAAAGGGTACGAGGAGTTGTTATGTTTTGCTCCTTCTAAATACTGCAAAAAATAGAAAGAAGAATGATACAGATAATCTTTGTCTTAGATTTGTGGGGAGCAATTCCACTCTATGTCCATTATCATACTTGATAGAAGCACTTGCCACCAAATTGAGGTTGAGAAAAGATAGTGCAGAATCCCATAATCTTCTAGTCTCACAACACCAAAGAAGAGGATGATTATAGGACCTCATTGTTCAAGCATAGGAATCATCCTTAGCCAAGGTCTTCCCTCTTCTTAACAGATTACCCGTAGTAAGAATTCCACCTTGTACTGCCTCCCAAGCAAAAACACAATGCAAGGCGAGGCTTTGCTTTTCCAAGCTTGTTACTGAGGAAAACAATCTAAAATTTGATCCTATTGATGGTGGTTCTAGAATAAGCTAACTTAAAACTTTCCATTTTTAGAGATCTTCCTATAAGGGCCATCCTCCTTTATGGATCAATGGCCTATTTTTTCAGAAGCGTGAGAAAGGTAATCCAACTATCCCTGTTCCCTATTCCTAGTTCCCTCTTCTCCACTCACCTTCATTTTCTTCTTCCAAATTGACCCTAAGAATCCACTTGGAAAGTGAAAATGAAGGAGAGTGGAAGGAGGAGTACAGAGTTATTTGGACCTCGCAGTAATACACTAACAGAACTAGAATATATTAAATAGAAATTTCTCAATTTTGAAAAACTAATAGTTTGGTGCAAGGAACAAATTATTCCATTTTCTTTTATTCCCTCCCAAATTAGACCCAAAAAAATCTAAGAGGCCATGAGGTTTTCTCTAGCGAGCCCTCACAGTTGGCATAATTATATTAAATATTGCACCTTACTAATCCATACTACCTGGTATATAGAAATTTTTTTACGTCACATCAAAAAATTTTACATCAGCTTCCAGCTGAAGTACCTGTATTAATTGATGCCGAATAAAATAATTTTTGAGAATTTTTAATTTTTACTTTATAAGTTTATAAAAGTTAAAGTTAACATTTATACACAACAACTTGATAAAATTGTTCAATTTTAATATACATACATAGATATATATATATATACATATATGAATGAGTATTTATTTTTAAGATGAATTCTTATTCTGAACTTTGAATTTAAGTTTGACTTATTTAGCATATTTGTAAATTATAAAATAATGATAAATTGGAAACTGCATTCCAAACTTATAAATACTAGTATGGACCCCTCATCAAAGAAAACTGAAGTGCTAAACAGTACAATATTTATTAGTTTGCTTCGCAATTCGAAATGGGTAGTAAAAGAACAAAGTCTCTCAAACACACTGCAAATATTTGCTAGATCTTATTGTAAACAGTCCTTTATATCCCAGATTAGGGACCATGATATAACCCATTACTGTATTGGACAGGAAGGGATGTATGGTAGGAAAAAGAGGAATTGGCTTTTGTTTTCAGAGAGAAAAGGCCATACACGAGGGCATTGGCTTTTTTTTTTTTTTTTTCAGAGAGAAAAAGACATACGTGAGGGCATTGGTATGAGAAGTGTTAGCTGGATTTATTTCAGAGTGGTTTCCAGAACTTTCTATTTTAGATTTTGTTTGTTAGGATCAGCAGTTCTATCTATTTTGTTTTTCTCTTAGTATTTGTTGGCACATGGCAACTCATAAAGTTTGTTGGCATATTTATGTAAAGAACGAACTGTAAATGTTGCTTGAGCGGTCATTTGGGATGAGGTTTTATGCCATTGATACATATCTATGCAAGTTTTAGTCAAATAATCTACTTGACGTATAAGGCCCACTAATTTGGGAATTTAGTTTTGACAAGCCAGATTCCTTCTTGGAAATATTATCACTGTAATACATCGACATTACACTTGAATGAACTCTTTGGCTTACATATTAATTTTTTTTAAAATAAAAGATGAAAGTGTTATTATTCACAAAGGTACTAAAAGAGTATCACCCAATTACATAATAGTTACATATCAATTAGGTGATCAATGACGCACCCTAAGTTTTTCCAATCTAATATGTCATGACTTAGCAAAATAGAAATAAAAGTATGAAACCATCTATTCTTATGTTTATAAAGTTCGATTCAATTCTCTCAAAAGGTTTAGCATTTCTTTCCTTCCACACAATCTAAAAAATGGTAAGTGGAATAAAAAATAAATGTTCTTTCTTTTTACAAATACCTGCCGAAGCCCACAATTCTTTACTTACATTACCTGTTATAACCCATCTCATCCCCAACAATCCGAACACCGACATCCATAAGCTGTGAGTAATCGGGCAAAATAATAAAATGTGGTCACATGTCTCCCCATCAGCTTTGCATAAGTAACATCGATTAATAAGAATGTTGTCCTACCTCTTTAACATATCAACAGTTAAAATACTTCCTCTTGAGCCTTCCCGAGCAAAGAAAGTCATCCTAAGGGGAGCTGCAATTTTTCAGATTTGTCTAAATGGAGCTGTCATATCATTCCCATTGTTCCCTTTGGATATAAAATTGTAATAGGACTTCACCGAAAACCTATTCTTTTTATCCAACTTCCATATCCTCCTATCATTCCAACTATCCATGTTAATTTTTGCCAGCACATGGAGTAAATTACAATATTCATCAATTTCCCAGTCCTACAAGTTCCTTCAACCTGTACATTCTCCACCCCTTCCCCCACCAACATTCCCATACACTTTATCCACTGTAATGTCCCTCTCACAAGCAATATTGTAGATATTAGGGAATCTGTTTTTCATTTTAAAAGCCCCCACCCATTCATCCTGCCAGAAACTCACCCTTTCTCCATTCCCCACCTTTCATCCCATACATTCCCGAAATCTACTGCCTTCCCCACTGATTCTCTTCCATAAACTCATCCCATGCGGTTTGTATTTCCCTCTTCTCCCACCATCCCGCTCCCAATTCCCTCATCCTGCCTACACCACCTTCCTCCAAAGTTTGTTATCCTCATTACAATACCTCCATAGCCATTTCCCATGAAGTGCAACATTCAAATCCACAATGGATTTAAGTCCAAGCCCGCCCCTATCCATAGGTTTCTTCACCTCCTCCCACCTTACCAAATGATATTTTTTACAACCATCATCATCACCTGAAAGGAATCTACATTGGATCCTTTCAAGCTTTGAAGCAATGCTAACCGGAATAGTTAATATAGAAAGATAGTAGATTGGGAGGTCAGCTAATGTACTCTTGATTAAGGTAAGCCTCCTCCCTTTAGACAAAAAACTCTTCTTCCATCCCGCAAGCCTCCTTTCAATCAACTCCACAATCGAGTCCCAAGTTCTAACATCTTTAAATTTCACCCCAAGAGGAATCCCAAGATATTTGATGGGTAGCGAAGTGATTTTACAGCCTAACACCCTAGCCATCTGCAACTCATCCCTCCTATCCCCCATCCTAACCACTTCCATCTTTCTCATATTGATTCTCAACCCGGACACCATTTGAAAACAAATTAAAATACATCTCAAATGAAGCAAAGAGGATAAGTTCGTTTCACAAAAGATGAGTGCATTGTCGGCAAAAAATAAATGTGAGAACTTCACCCTGGAATCGCCATCCCCCACCGATATGCCTCTCACCAGATCAAGCTCTCCATCCCTCTCCATCAGCTTACTAAAAGCTTCCATAACAGTAAGAAAAAGAAAAGGTGACAGTGGTTCCTCTTGGCGAAGGACCACCGTTCACCATCACAGCAAAAGAGGTCATAGAGATACAATTCTTTATCCGTTTCCTCCATTTACAACTGAAACCCATCCTCTTAAGCATATAAATAATAAAATCCCAACAAACATGATCATAAGTTTTCTCCATATCAATTTTACAGATGATACCTTCTTTGGCTTACATATTAATGTGACATACTGAGGGGAAACCATCTTG